AGTTAAAACATGACCAAGCTTTCACTTCCATCAATGTGACTTTATCATTGCAAACAACAAAACAATGTTAACGTATACAGCAATAATGCAAAAATATTTTACACTTACATTTGCAGATGGCCGCCTTGCTTCATTTAGAAAACCATGTGACCTACTATACCATTGATGTGAAGCTTGTTATAAGACCATATATTAATGTATTCAATTAGCAAACAATGCCTTTTGTTCCTCTTTCCCTAAATTCCAGGAGAGAGAGAGAGAGTTTCCACAACGTACATTTTCCTTTGCGTGACATTATAATATTCCAGTGAGCCAAATTTCCTTACAAAAAAACTTCCAGACAATAGGCTTGCAGTTGTTTGGTATGATATTAATTTCCCAAACTATTGTCTTCCTCATTTGAGTTTATTGCTTCCCGCAATTTTTCTGCACATAATTGACATTGATGAAAAAACCTTCTTAAGAGAATTTAATTATTCCTCTAAAATTTAGAGTGACATCCCAGAACAACACATAACAATTTTCCAGACATGATATTCCAAGGTAATTTCTCCCACTTATCCTATGCTTGTTGTGTCAGGAGTTTCACTTGTAGTTTCCTTTGGGGTCATGATTATATTCCAGTATGATTGTTAATAAAAAAAATTTAATTTCCTAGTTTCCACCAGTTTCCTTTTCCAGATAAAGAAACACCCTTTGATCGACTAGAATAACCATTGCAAAGTTCCTGATGTGTGCTTTGTAGTAATTGAGAATTTCTTGCCAAATTAAAGAAAATAAAACTTACTACGAGTCTACAAACCATAATGAGTGACTGTGCTATGTGAATTATATACACAAATGACAGTATATATGCAACGCTTCTTCCAAAAATAATCGGCTAGTAAAAGTATCCAATTCCTCCATTTAATTTTGGAGTGTACGGTCTATTACAATGGTGAGTAGTTCCATGTTTTTTACATGTTCAGTTGATATATTCCTGAAGTGTACTTCCCCCACCAATTAGTTGTTGAAACTTTGAAATCTTTTAATCAACTGACTTTCCACTTCAGTACATAATATGCCAAGCACAATAAAACATTCCAACTTGTATTTTGAAATAGTATAAACATAACCATATCAAGTGCAACCATCAATGAATGAGACAAAAGAAATAACCAGACCTCTAGTGGGAGTGAAAAATAATACCACAAGTACATCCAAATAAATAACAATGCGACGCCTTTATTTTTTACCTTCCACCTTCACAAAAAGGTGTATGATAAACAAACATCATATATGCACGCTTCACATGTACCATAGTCCTGCCACTAAAGTTTAAAATTCCAGAATCAATAAGCCTCTTGATACCGTTCCAAGATATGTCACTAAGTCGTGGATGATATAACTAATATGATTCCAAGCATGTGTTTCCATTATTAATATCCCTCTCTATGGAGTTATCTTCACCAAATAAACAATTTGGGTTGCCAACTTCCAAATGAACCATCAAGAAAGATGAGACCATTGCGTGAAATTTCGTAATGCACTGATTTTATCATTGAGCAATATTTCCACTCTTCCTTTTTCAAATAGTATGACATAGTCAATAGATTCCAAGATAGAACAATAAATTAAATCCCTTCTCATTGAAGTCGAATATCATGTCCTATAACAATAATAGTTTTACTCCACAAAAAGAGTTTGAAGGCATAATGTCCAATCCAAGGTATATCAAATTTAGCATTAATTCCCAATATGAACTCACGTCTATTAGGATCCTATTCGTATTCAACATCAGCCTTAAATCAAGATCTTTCGACAGGCAGGATACGTCTTCCAATAAGGGTCGTTTCTGGTTCAATTCAATCTACACGAGAAGTAACAATGGAGACGAAAGAGAAAGAAAACTATTGTTAGCTAGTAGTGTTGACGTATAATGTGCTGCCTAGTCTCTTCTATCCAGTGGCGGAGCTTGAAAGAAAATGCTGGGCGGGCCAGACTAGACAAGAGCACAATTTTTTTTGAAATTCTGAATCATAAGCATCAGTATGATTACCGGATGGAGCAAGCACCAAGCAGTATGTATATATACAGCAAAATACATTTTAACCTTGAATCACTATTAAGTTAGCTAATACAAAAGCTTTGAGACATTAGACATGTGACTTACTCACATACTACAAATCAACTCTCCGGTCACCCTTGCTTCTAAAATCTGCAAGGACATCTTCGTGGCTGTAGTTCTCTAGAATTCCACCCCCTATGTGAACTAACAGATTATTGGCAAGATTCTCATCTTCCAGGGTCTCGCTGCAAGAACTCAATACCTTGGAATGTAACAGCTTCATTTGTTCGAACCTATTCGTACTGGTTTCGGTTATGTTGTTCCAATTCAATCAACGGCAATATCTAGTTTTCCTGAACTCGAGTTATGTCATCTCTTTTCCTTTTAAAAACCGAATCAATTCTTCTCTGAGATTGATTTTCCTTGCCCATGATTATCTGTGTTGCAATTTGTATAAGATCAGCCTATTCACTTTCTTATCAAATGGACACAACTATTTCTTATCAACAGTTCAACACTGGACACTCAAAACAGATGAATAGTTGGCGCTAATGGTTAGAAATTGAGGTCCACTCGACACTCAACAGTCAACAGGATTCTGTACAGGTGGAATTCCATATGGATAAAATCTTTTTCTTATAAACACTGGACACTGAAAATACTGTAGATGAGTTCATGACTCATGAGTAGATGTAAAGAACTGAACAAAAATGATAAAATGGGGAATAACCCCTTGCTTCTGACAGTTGCTCTACTCTTGGAGGACAGTAGTAGACTGGAGACTAGGAGAGCTCATCCAGTGATCTGCTCATGCGCCAGCCGCCAGGAGTGGTTCGGCCGGCCGCAGGCCAGTAGCACGCAGGGGCGGGCCCACCTCAATTCAAGGGTACTCAGTTGAATACCCATTATTTTTGCCAAAAAACTAGGTATATATATACTGTATATCATGTGTATGTACAAGAAAAAACGAAACTGATGCAATAAACGTGCTAGCTAACCAATTTAGCCCAAAAACCCAGCTTGTAATCCTCCCTCACCACCCACGCCATGGCCCATAGGCCCAAAATGCTTCAGGCTGCACCCTGGTTTAGTTACCTTCCCTGTTCCCTAAAAAAAAGTTACCTTCTCTGTTCCCAAATACTATCGATCTAGGTCACGAACCGGCGGCAGCCACGGGCGAGCGACGCATCATCCAGATTTCAGCTGTACGTGTACGTCATCCATCGCCCCCTCTCTCTGGTACTGATCTTTGCACACATTGGTCTTCATTTTTAAATCCCTAGGTTCACATAGTAGTACATATGATCTGTTCATCGAAATTAGATGTATTCACCTTGCTAATTAGATTTTGGTTATTGATTTCTCTCTGTATCTCATGCTTCTCAGCTTGTTTCTAAATAGTTTATTGAAGAGAATACCCTCTAACAGACTAGCAAACTAAAATTCCTCCAGTGTTGCCAAACATGCAGATTCTTAGTTAAATAAACTCATTTTCAAAGCATCAAGGATAGGACAGGCAACCTGTAATTTGTCAGCCTTTTATCATTATTTATTTTCCATCTCTATATATCTTAGATGTTGCCACTTCAATCTTTGAACAATTAGTATTTCTATAAGGTGGAAATTTGAAATTATGGTCAATTCTATGAATATATTATATTCTGTGATATCCATATGTATTACCCAATTTGTGTAAACTACTACTAAAATCCGTTATATACACTGAAAAAATAGCGCGCTATAGCGCCGCTAATAGCACGCTATAGCATGTAGAGAATTTTGCTCGCTAAATTGATCAGTGTACAATGTCTCGCTATAGCACGCTAATAGCATATTTTTAGGGGCGGCGCTATTTTCTGTAGCACGCTATTTTTTCATTGGTTATATATGCCAAAACAAGGCTTTAGACTTCCAAAAAACTGCCTTTGAAATTTTGAATACACACTCTTGAAATCCTGGGCCCGCCCCTGGTAGCACGACGGCGTGGCCGAGCCCGAGTAGATGTCATCCGTGAGCAGGTGCAGAGAGTCGGGGGAAGGGAGGAAAGCAAGGGGCTGAACCGTGGCTGTGAGATACAGGGATTCCGGCGAGAGAGGATAGATGTCGTCGGTTCGCCGGCGGCGGCGGCTTGCTCTTGTGCTCCCTGCTCGAATGTGGGACAGTTTGGGAATTGGGGATTAGGGATTCCTAGCGCTGCTGCTCTGTGCGTGAGTCTCTGAGAGAAAGCGAGAGGACGCACGTGTGCTGGGCTAGTGGGCTTGGGAGATGCCTATATAAATTTTTTTGGGTCAAAATCCTGGGCGGGCCATGGCCCGGTTTAGCCCCTACAGAGCTCCACCCCTGCTTCTATCAGATCGGTTTTTTGGTTGCATTGGCTAGAGCATGCACTTCTATAAACATCACAGCTTCTTCCAACCAGTCCCAAAATTTCAATATGTATGCGGCATATGCACCAGCGAGAAATTCAACGATAAAACAACCATCCCATTTCAATCAGGTCTTTGGTAATATCACCATCTTCAGCAAATTTTTATGTGCACTGATCACAAGATAACCCACTAACTTTGATTCTATACAATGCTCTGCAAATAGTAGTGCCATACGCTCACTCGGTCACTCCCTTGCAAACATTCACTACCATCTAATTTAGAGTGTCATATTGCAGGCTCTGTTAACGATGACATGAGATTGTATTGTTCCTTGAGTTCCATGCATGTAGGATTTTCAACGACGTAGAAGAGAGAAGGGAGGATGAGGTTCCCACTTAAATCACTGCTTATAGACACCCGTTGTGGATAATTTGATAGTTCATCGCTATTTCATCGGGTTCACCCACGTCATGGACCATGAAGCTCCTAGACTTACTCTAGAGTCTAGAGACAACCCATTACAGGAGGTTTGTACATGCTGTCTAGAGACAACCTATTGTACTTGCCCTTGGTTATATAGCATGCTAAGATTTATGATAACTCAAAGCATAGTCCCAGATCATCCGCACCGCAGACTCTAGCATCCCTTTTAGAGTGTCCACCTCTTGATTGCCACCGTCCTGGTAAATGATTAAGGAGACATAGTCATTGTGCTGTTCAATCCAGTCAATTAGAAAACATGACGGCAATAATTCTAATTCCGAGTAACCATATGTTGGTAGAAAAACAGAATATTAGGTCTGCACATGACATGATAATTCCAATTCAGAGTTTCCATATGTCAGTACTAAAACAGGCTATTACTTGTGCGCATCGCATGCAGAGAATTGTTGTTTGGACATTAGGTCAAGCAAACCAAGCATAAAATGCAGGTACATTACAAATGTAACAAAATAATTTGCTCAGGAACATCACAGATTATCGTGTACTAACCTGAAGTCTCTTGGATATGCCAGTTAATTTGAAGCTAACTTCATTGGAAACCTCTCTAGTGGAGCTCCCTTGGACAAACCGACCAGTATGCCTTAGATACATCTTTAAGGATTTATTCTCAAAAGCCTTGTAGTTTGTATGCCACACTCCAGCTATGCTGAACCTCTGATCAATCCACTTGTTCCCAAGTGGCCGTCTAAGCCCCCCTCTGGCATTAGGATCAACAATAGCTGAAGACACTAAGCTCTTGATGGCATTTTCCACTTCAGGCTGCAACTGCAAGTGTTATCAGATGAGTCTGCAGAAGATATGCTAGTAACAGAAAGGACAGAGGTAGTTCCAACTCACGTCTATTAGGATCCTATTCGTATTCAACATCAGCCTTAAATCAAGATCTTTCGACAGGCAGGATACATCTTCCAATAAGGGTCGTATCTGGTTCAATTCAATCTGCACGAGAAGTAACAATGGAGACAAAAGAGAAAGAAAACTATTGTTAGCAAGTAGTGGATTGTATAATGAATAGTACTATATCTGAACAATTTAGCACAAGCCACAGTACTTAAGTCGCATATTAGAATCTAACCAACTGACACTATACATGGTATAAACGAAAATTTACAAAGGAAAAAAGCTAAGCCCAGCAATATCTGCAGTAGAATGAAAAAACAAGGAAAAAATGAATACTAATCACATCGAGCTACAGAAAACATGAGCCGGTGAAACAATCTCGCTTTAAAACAATTTCAAGCAAACATAGCAGCTTTTCCATAAGAATGCTATGAGGCTGAGCTTTATTGCTGCAGTTTCTTTAGTTAGAGAACATAATGAGTTTAGAGCTAACTGCCCAAATGATAGACTACAAACAAGAGACACGGATGCTTTAGAGAAACAAGGAACCACCGGCCACTTGAGGAGCAATCAGAAGACTACATATAGTGGTACATATGTAGTGAACGAATTTGTGTGTAAAAACTGGATACATATTTACACATGCCTTCATCTTAATTGCCCAAAAATTCTTTTAAATTAAGACAAGCATGATAATTGATAGCTAAAAGTTAGCATCATACATCGTCTCAATGAATTCTAACTTATAGATTACTTATCTTTACTGTCTTGGGGTTCTGGATTGTCAGGTGTAAAAGAATAAAACCATGCACAATCTGATATTTCACACTGTTTAGTAGTACTATTTAGCATGGATACCCATATATAATCAATGCATGGTAGTGCTAAAAGTTAACTGTGACCCTGAGTTCTGAAAACGAAAATGTACAGGAAAGGACAGCATGGTAAGCACACCTTGTCGATTGCAAGCTTCCCATCTTCTTGCAAAGTGCATTTGCAAGACATCTTGGAAACCACTCCCTGCTTGTCGACCACCTATCAGATATTTACAGGCCGCAAAGTCAATTCACGCTCGTCTAAACAACAACCAGGGGATAATTCTCAAATTGTTAGACGCATAAACCTTGACATGGTAGTGCTCTTTTGTTGAAACGAACTCCAACCCCATCCTCTCCACAGCGAGTCGCTCCATGTCATCCAAGAAATCACTGGGCAGATTCGTATGGAACGTTTTACGGACCGGGCTCTTGGATCCTTCTGTCCCTGCCTCTGCGAGGTCGCGGACGGCGTCCAGGGAGACGGGCGATCCACCAACACAAAAGCTGGGTGGTGGCGCGCGTTAATCACAATGTGATGTGAGTTGTGACACGAAGCAGAGATCCAAGAACTGGAAATGGTGGGACGCATAGAAGAAGACTCACCGTTGGAACAGGACCTTGCCCACCCTTGCCATGAGACTCAGTTTTGCCTCCTCGTCTTCCCTGGGCACATCGTGCATCCTCGCTCTCGCCTTCTCCGCCGCGTATAAGAGGTCCGGCAAGAACCTCTCGGCGATGACTGCGGCCGCGTCCGCGGCCTCCGTGTAGCCGGAGGATGGGGAGGAGAGGGCAAGGACGAGGGGCTTGGCGCCGGTCATGCGCTCGACGGTGTAGCAGGGGAAGGGCTCGAGGCGGACAGATTCAGCGTCGTCGGAGAAGGGCGGGAGCGCACTACAAGGAAATCGGTCTATTGCAACGGAAATATTGCCACAAAATAATTTTCGTTGCAAAAATCTCATTCTATCACCACATTTTCATTTTTGTGGCGACTAGCACGTCATAATGCAACATTATTTTATTGTTGCAATAAGTGCCATGATCATTGCAAAAAGGCTAGCCTTCTTGTGATGAACAAAAAATCGTTGCAAAAATCTAGGCTTATGGCAACAAAAAAAATTACGTTGCATTAAGTATTTGCTATTACCACAATTTATATATCGTGGCAATATTTTTACTTCCCCCACTCCACACCGGTTGCCTTTGGACTTTGGCGGTAAAGAGACTTCTCGTTTCCCACCAAAATTTTTTAGCCGGTTGCTTTATTTCCCACGAAGAGACCTTCTCGTTCCCGGCAAAAATTACTTTTCCCGCACGGATACGGTGAGGTGCTCCACGAACTCCTTATAACTGCTTTCAATCTGGATTAAGCAGGACTATAATCTGATTTCACCCTATTAGGAAATCAGGTTTACTTCTTCCTCCGTCATGGCAGCTTCACGGCGTTTGTAGACGAGATCGGCGACTTCGCGGCGTTGGTCGACGAGAAGATTCTTGTGCGTACATCGGTAATTCCTTTCTCTACCTCTCTCTTGTTCCCGTGATGGGGTGCCCCACTTGACCTTCTCCCTGCTAGTCGCCGTTGTCGCCTAATCTCCATCCCATCTACCTGGGGCCACGACCCTCTCACCTGCACAAAGGGGAATTTTCACTGCTTCCAATTAAGATGGGGAGGGAGGGCCACGCGCCGCAGGGACTGTGAGTAGCGTCGCTGCCTCTTGCGCACGTCGGAGGGAATAGTTGGCCGCTGCACCACAGCTAGCTGTGCCGGCGGGAGCAGCTCAGGAAAAAAGGTTGCCTCGGCGCTGGGGCTTGCCGTGCGGCTCCAACAGGAGCAGCTTCAGCGCCGACGGTCGGCGGCACGCTGGAGGTCGCCTCCGGACCGGGGCTTGCCGCGCGGCACCGACCAGATCAACTTCAGGGCCGGCGGTCACCAACGCACTGGGGCTCGCCATGTCGCGTCGCCGGATGGCCGCGACCTGTCGGAAGGGTGGGATTGCCGCCGCTCCTGTGGACAGCCTGTGGCGTGCTTTCCAGATCTACAACTATTCCGGTCTCATCTGCTCTGTTTTCCTCTCTTCTACTGTATGCCTCTGTTCCGTCAGGTATTTTTTTCTTTTATTCGAAACTTGCAGCTACATCGTACAGCACAATCAGGCATCAACCTTTGAATGCACATATCAATTGTACGATGATAAGCCACATGGTTGGACGAACTACAATAATATATGCATGCCCATGGCATGTAGTTTTAAACATTCAGCCGTCAATCACGCTTTAGCCTGAATCAGCTCTGCCTTTCAACACTTTTTCCCAAGTACATCAAATGCAGGGACCACGTCATCATATAGTGCCTTGTGGCCTGCAGCAAGAATAGCCAGTTGGCCATCTTCATATGGCTTCTTGTTCCCTCAAACCGGAGCTTCAGCAAAAGCTCCACCCTTTTTTTAACTGCCTCTTCTCTCTCTCGTCCCCTCATCCCTGACAGAGGCAAACGCACTCACACCTGCCGCTAGCGATACACACTTTTGCTCCTCCGGTGGGCAGCCGCAGGCTTCAGGTAAAATTGTTGATAGCCTGCTAGAGTGAAAGGTAAACAGGAATATGGATTTAACCCCCAAAAATAGTCTTCAAAGCTTTGATCAGGAAGTGGCACTGGATATGATCTAATTCCGATTAAGACCTTCACCCTATGCTCCCCAGTTAAATTTTCTCTTTCAGTTATAGTAAATGTAATTATCAAACAATTGTTTGATGCCATGTACCTATGCATTTAGTATTTTTCTGTCTAGTTTTTAGTTATGAGGCTTCGTTCCATTGTGTTCTTTGCATATCCAGCCTTGCTTTGGATTTCATAACATGCTTCCCATACCAAAATTTATTGAGTTATCTCGTCAGATTTGGGCTCACATAAAAGCTGATACATAATTCTTGTGTGCAGCAAATGGTATTACATTGCTCATCCTTAGAAAAATTGTATGCAGGAAAGGTCGAAGTCAGGATAAGGAAGAAGCCAGTTCTTTGTTGCGTCAAGGACGACCTGTGAGAAGGTTTGTTTCTGTTATGTCAATATTCTCAAATTTTCATTTTTTTATTCAGTCTGAATGAAATAAGTTACTTTCAGTACACATATTTTCTCGTTTTGCTAATACCTATATGCATAGTGTTTAATGTTAAATTTGATAAGGTTTGTTTGGGTTATGTCAACATTCCCAAATTTTCATCTTTTTCTCAGTCTGAATGAAATAAGTTACATTCAGTACTGTGTTCTCTTGTTTTGCTAATACCTAATATGCATATGTTGTAATCCTATTCTATAAACAAATATAACTACTATGCCAAATTTCGTGTAGTACGAGTATCTATGAGGCTCAAAAGTTATCTGTATTATTTTGAGAAAAATAGCTCATGTCCTAAACGGACTACTATTCTATTCTATTATACTACATACTATTTCCATATTTTAGATTCACTTTCCTGACAAGTGTGTAAATCCTTTATCTAATTTTCTAGTTTAAAATCAGCTAGATGGCTCGAGATAGGAGTTGGATGGATATGAATAGGGATTCCGCGGAGTGCCAGAGTGGCATTAAGGAATTTTTAGATTTGGCTTTTGACGGTAGTCCTGGAAGATCAACCGCTTTATGCCCATGTAGAAGATGTCTCAATGCTATTTACAAGGAAAGGGACGAAGTACACCTTGACCTGCTCATGAATGGGATGGATCCCAGTTATACTTGCTGGAAATACCATGGAGAGGATTCAGATGACGAAAGTACAGCTGAAGGATCTGAAGGTGAAGGGGTGAGAGGTGATGACTTTGCAGTTCGTGATTTGCTCAACACTCTCATACGTAGCAGTGAGCCAGAAAGTAGCAAAACCACAGGTGAAGGTACTAGCGAAGAGATGTTGCATGATGATGGTAATATCCCAGAAGGGTCTGCAGAAGGTAGAAGTAACGAAGAGGCAGGTGGATGTGCCAAGGCTTTCTTTGCTTTGTTGAAGGATGCTGAAAAGGAGTTGTACCCTGGTTGCAAGGAGCTCACAAAGCTTTCTTTCATTGTGAGACTCTACCAGATAAAGTGCATGTTTGGGTTGAGCAACAGGGCATGTGAGGCAGTACTTCAATTGTTCACAGAAGCGCTTCCAAAAGGTCATTGTATTCCAAATTCTCTCGAGAAAGTTCAGAAGATAATCCGGGATCTTGGGCTTGACTACCAAAAGATACATGCTTGCATTAATGATTGTGTGCTATTCCGGAAAGAGTATGCTGACATGGATTACTGTCCGACCTGTAAGGAATGTAGATGGAAAGCTGCTGCCGCTGATGAATCAGATGTCGAGAGGACAAACCATAAAGGGAAGAAGCAAGTGGCCCGTAAAGTTCTAAGATATTTCCCACTCACTCCACGGCTACAACGTCTATTTATGACCGAGGCTACATCATCATATATGAGATGGCATAAGGACGACCGTGTGGATGATGGTATAATGCGGCACCCTGCAGATTCTTTGGCATGGAAGCATTTTGATAACATTTATTCTAAAGGATTCTCTTCGGATGCACGGAATGTAAGGCTTGGGCTTGCATCTGATGGGTTCAACCCATATGGGATAATGAATGTGTCATACTCTAGATGGCCAGTGATTCTAATTCCATATAACTTGCCTCCTTGGTTGTGTTTGAAACAACCATATTGGTTAATGTCGATGATAATTCCTGGAAAAAAGTCACCAGGAAATAACATCGATGTATATCTACAGCCTTTGATAGATGAACTCAAAGATCTATGGTATGTTGGTGCCGACACATATGATGCCACAACGAAGAAGAAATTTCAGATGCATGCAGCCCTCATGTGGACAATTAATGATTTCCCAGCTTATGCAATGCTATCTGGTTGGAGCACAAAAGGAAAACTAGCATGCCCATATTGCCACATGCACACAGACCATTTATGGTTGAAATATGGGCGCAAGTACTGTTACATGGGTCATCGCCGTTTTCTAAGTCGTGACCACAAGTGGCGTAGAAACAAGAGTTGCTTCAATAACGAGACAGAAAATAGAGATGCTCCGGTGCCACTCTCGGGCAATGACGTGGTACAACAACATGCAAGTTTCGAGCAGGAAACCTTTGGGAAAACTAGAAAGAGGAAGCGTGATGATGATAATAAGTGGCATAATTGGAGGAAGAAGAGTATATTTTTTGATCTCCCTTATTGGAAGAACTTTCTTATTAGGCATAATTTGGATGTAATGCACATTGAGAAGAACATCTGTGACAGCTTTTTAGGGACACTGCTTGATATGGATGGTAAATCAAAGGATACTCTGAAGGCCCGTCTTGATTTACAGCACTTAAAGATAAGGAAGGATCTGCATCCAAATGTCAGTAGAAAGTATACTTTAAATCTAGCTTGCTATAATTTGACCAAGGATGAGAAGAAAATGCTATGCAAGTTTTTGCATGGTGTAAGGATGCCCGATGGTTATGCATCAAACCTAAAAAGATGTGTGGACCTCGAAGGTTGTAAGGTGTCTGGGCTCAAAACTCATGACTGCCATGTCCTCTTTCAGAAACTTCTTCCCATTTGGGTACGCAATATACTGCCCAAGAAATTTGTTGTCCCATTCCTCGAGCTAAGCCTATTCTTTGCTGCGATTTATTCCAAGGAATTAAATCCTGAAGAGCTAGCAAAGTTGAGTCGTACAATTCCAGAAACTCTCTGTCGACTTGAGATGATCCTTCCACCCCAGTTTTTTGATATCATGATGCACCTTCCTATTCACCTTGCTGAAGAAGCTCGATTAGGTGGAC